ATTTAGATGGAAAATAGTTTGTTTTAATCTGTATTCTGAGTGACAACAATGGGGGAAGTGTCTCCATCCTCCCTCTGCTCTTCCATCAGCTCCACTTTAAAGCGGAGCGGAGAATGTGAGCGCGTCCCCGCCGGACGTGTCAGCTGTTTGAGCGCGCGCTCGGACACGGGTCTTTAACTATGGGCGCGCACATCCTGGAGTCCAACTCCAGCGGCAACCTGACGCCTGCCGTGTCCGAGGCTGGGGCTGTGCTCCCGGGGTACCTGGTGGTGATCCTGTCGGTGCTCATGGTGACGCTGGTGATGGTGGTGGTGGCCGGGAACGCGCTGGTCATCATGGCTTTTATTGTGGACAAAACCCTCAGAACTCAGAGCAACTACTTCTTCCTGAACCTGGCTATTTCAGACTTTCTAGTGGGTAAGTTTCTGCTCCTCTCTCCCTGTCAGATTCAGCTGTTGTGCTTTTGATTTGATCAACGTGCGCGCTTTTTACGCACGGACAATCCGCTCTTTACACGTTGCAGTKCGTATTCATTAATTGTATCATAATAACTGTAGTAATAATGTGATGTGCTGCTACTATCAGGGGAAGTGTTAACGTGTGTCCTCGTGCTGAAAGCTCTTTGTTCAGAAACACGCAGCGGTCAGTAATGTGTGACTGGTCAGAGGAGCTGTGAATGATAATGACGGGTTGAATCATCACGCGGTGTGTCTGCGCGCTCTGTGTTCCAGGTGCGTTCTGCATCCCAGTCTACATCCCCTACAACCTAACGGGCAGGTGGGTGCTGGGCAGGGGGCTCTGCAAGGTGTGGCTGGTCATGGACTACCTGCTGTGCTCTGCCTCCGTCTTCAACATCGTCCTCATCAGTTACGACCGCTTCCTGTCCGTCACACGGGCGGTAAGTGGACCACAGGCTGGACCCGGAGAACCAGGGTCACACAGAACTCAGACTGGTCTACATGAGTCCAGAGAACCAGGGTCACACAGAACTCAGACTGGTCTACATGAGTC